AAAAGGATGAAAAACAGCATAGTTTCCTCAAAAAATGAAAAACATAACTACTCTATGATCCAGCAGTCCCACTTCTGGGTATTTCTCTAAAAAATTAAATCAGAATTTTGAAGAGATATTTGCATCCCTGTGTTCATTGCAGCATCATTCATAATAGCCATGATTTGGAAACAAATATCTACTGACAGGTGAATGGAAAGAAAATGTGGTATATACATATGTCAGAATATTACTCATTCTTAAAAAGAAGGAAATCTGAGGGCACCTGGGTGGCTCAGTCGGTTAAGTATTTGACTCTAGGTTTTGGCTCATGTCGTGTTCTCACAGGTTCATAGGTTTGAGCCCTGCATTGGGCCTTGAACTATCAGCATGGAGCCTACTTGGGATTCTCTCCCTTTCTCCCCGCCCCTCCCCTGCTTGTGTGTGCACACACACACTTTTTCTTTCCAAATAAATAAATAAATAAACATTATTTTTTTAAAAAAGAAGGAAATACTGCCAATATACTACAATGTGGGTGAAGCTTGAGGACATTATACTAAGTGAAACAAGCCAGTCACAAAGACAAATACGTCATAATTCCACTTACATGAGGGATCAACAATACTCAAACACATAGAAGCAGAGAAAATGCAATCGCAAGGAGCTGCAGGAGGGAGAAATGGGGTGTTGCTCTTCAATGGGTGTAAAGTTTCAGTTATGCAAGATGAATAAATTCTAGAGATCTCTGTACAACACGGTGCCTAGAGTTAACTATACTATGTGCTCAGATGTTTAGGAAGGTAGGGGCACCTGGGTGGCTCAGCTGGTTGAGCGTCCGACCTCAGCTCAGGTCATGATCTCACAGCTTGTGGGTTCGAGCCCCGCATCAGGCTCTGTGCTGATGGCTCGGAGCCCGGAGCCGGCTTCAGATTCTGTGTCTCCCTCTCTCTCTGCCCTCCCCGCATTCGCGCTGTCTCTCTCTGTCTCAAAAATAAATAAAAATTTTAAAAATTTTTTTGTTTTAAGTTTAGGAAGGTAGATCCAATGTTGATATGCTTGTGACAAAAAAAACAAAAACAAAAACAAAACAAAACCCAACTCTCTGGCTTCCCACCTTGTGCAAAGCAAAAGCCAGTCTTCCTATTGGCCTTTAAGTCTCCACCCTCACCACCCTGCCTCATCTCTTACTGCTCCCCCCCCCCCCCCCCCCCCCCCCCCCCCCACTGAGCCACACAGACCCCTGGCTGCTCCTTAGGCGTACAAGTTCAGCTTCCACTTCATGGCCTTTGTGCTTTTGTTCCTTCTCCCTGGGGGGGTCCTTCTTTTCTGGATCTCTCCATGGTTCTCTCACTTCCTGCTCCAATGCTGTCTTCTCATCAACCCTCCCCTGATTACTGCTCTAAAGCTGCACGCACGCATGCACGCACACACGTACTACCTGTACTCCCCATCACCTTCCTCTGCTTTATTTTTAGCTACACAGGCGATCCCCTTCTGACGTGTTCTATAATTTGCCTATCGGTTGCTTTGTGTCTGTTCTCTCCCACTAGAACCACTGCACACCAGCAGGTGCTGTTTGCCTGTTCCACGTTCTAGTGCATCCCTGACCCTTGGAACAGCGCCTGGCACACAGTAGATGCTCAGTAAGTGTTTGATAGATAAATCAACTGAAAGTGAATGAACTGGCTTTCCGGCTTTTACTCTTGTCTTGTGAGTCTTATGAGCATGAGAAAAATCATCTTCTAATTCATCGATTACAGATGCACCAACAAACCAAGCAAGGACCAGACAGGAATTGTAGGGACTCCACTGCTAGTCCTGTCCCTGGCATCTCTGGGACTCCCACAGGAACAATATATAATCTCTATTCCTTGGGCAGCTGGCACCTCCTCTGAGTCCTGCAAGAGTGCTAAGCTGCTAAACTAAAACTTGAGGAACGAGGAGATCATCTGGATCCTTGTGTGCACGGACGTATACTGGGCCTTTGGGAAGGAAGGCCTCTGGATCAGAGACCAACGAAAAGGGAACCTTTGCACTGTGGATGGAGATCGACAGGCTTTGCAGTTCTCAGAAGATGACTCAGAAACCACTCAGGACAATAGCTGCTTGGGCTAGTCCTTCCAATTAATTTCTTATTTTCTAACGGTTAACCCACAGTGCAGAAACCTGGCAAACACAGCCGATGAAAGCAAACATCCCCAGTGACGTCATGTGGCTATCATGTGGCCCCTGACAGGATGTGAGAAGAGCACTTCACCTCCGGGGTATTCTTTCCAAAACCCAACCCGTCTCACCTCGAGAACACCAGGCACACCCGGACTGGGGATATTGTGCAGAAGACCTGGCCAGGGCTCCGTCGTGGTCACGAACAGCAAGGCCAGACTGAGAGACTGTCACAGACCAGAGGCGACTGAATGAATGTGGTGTCTCAGAGGACGTTCACGGGCAGACTGGTACCTGAATTATGCACTTGCCAACCTCGCCAAAGCGAGCGAGCCTCTTGGAAGCCGGCCCCCACGACGACAAACTGAAAGGCAGAGGCTGCTCGTTTGGAAGTCCTACAATGTCTCCCTGAGAGGCCGGAGGGCTTGGCTTGTGCTCACATACCGGGTCGTCCCTTCGGTTCCCCTTCGGATCAAGTCCCAGCTCCGTCCGCGGTTTCCAGGCCTGCCTTCCTGCCTTCCTTCCAGGCCGCAAGCACGCTCTCCGCTGCTCTCAATTTGGAAATTGTAACTTTGTCAGCCCTCACGTGGGAATCGACACACTGGCTCTCTCGACGCCGTCGCGACCAGTCTTTTGCGTTGACCCTCCTCGCCGTACATTGCGCATTGTGACAGCTGCAGGCCTAGGCCGGGTGTACCTCTGCTGCACGTGTCCCAAGAACAGCACACGTGGGAAAACAGAATTGAAACACATACGTGAACGTGCCCCCGCACCGCCCCCACTTGTGTCTTCCACGCCCAAACCACCATGGGGACCACCAGGAAGCTCCGGCCTTGCTCCCTCGTACTGGCCCGCACCGTTAGGCTGGATGGCCTCCCTGGGTCCGTTTATCTGAAATCGCGAGGGCCCATCGATGCCGTGAAACCAACAGGCCGTGTATGACATCCACCGACACTCCACATCCCCCAGCAACGTCATCTTCTTAGCAGGGATCCCAAACCTGGGTCCAGAGACTATGGCGGCCTCCGTGGGCTCATGAGAGAAGGAATCAGGCTGGCCCTGATAATAGTGCAGCAATTCCGAGAAGGCGAGACAGGGGAGTGTGTGCAAGGGAAAGGAGTGGGAGCCAGAGGCTGTAGGAAGAAGCAGGGGCTTGACTTGCTCAATGAAACAACCTGCCGGCGGGTCACAGAGTGAGGGGTTGAGTCATCCGGGTTTGAGGAGTACCTAAAACTTAATCGGATGAAGAGAAAGAACGTGTCTTGCCACATTCCCTTTTTCGGTGAGGTTCAGTATCTGGAACATTCAGATCTGCTGCCCCTCCTTCCTAATTTCCTCATCTTATACAACGGCATCAAAATCTGCACAGTCGCCGGAGCAGACGACTCAGGAAGTCTGGTATCGTCTTTCTCAGGGCATCACTGATGACCGTCAGTCCCACCCCCAGGAGACCTTCCGAATTCACTGCCTTGTCAGCCCCCACCTAGCCCACAACAGGCCCCACCTGCAGCTCAGTCCCTTCTGTTGTCAGGTGGGCCTTTCTGAAATCCCAATGTGACAGGGCCACTCAGAACCTACAGACCGCTTGGGCTCTGTGTTGCTTTAGGGGAGGTCCACACGTTGCTTTGAGCTCGGCACTCTTTACCATGTGGATCCGGCCCCAGCCCCAGCTCCTCGCCCCAGAGCTCTCGGTCAGGCTGCAGGGAACCACCCCGCCTTCCTGGGGCACCCGGCACCCTCCTCCACCCTGCTGCCTCCGCCCGGAAGGCTAGCTGACTCTTCCTTGCTACTCAAGACCGGGCCCAGAGGCTGCCTCCTGCGAGGCCTTCTAGGGTACAGCGAGAGGCAATTAGTTACGATGTCCCGTGCATATGATCCTCTGGGCCCTGTCCTATTTTATTCTAGCATCTTGCTGTCTCGCAGTAAACTTCTGCGAGGCAGATACTACCTGCCTGATGCCCGAAGCCTCACGGCTGCTCAAAAGACGTTATAACGTAAACGAATGTGACGGGTGTCTGTGCCCCCCGAGCCGGAAAAACTCCCACACGGTTCCTGACTGGGGACGCTGGTTCGAATACCACCACAGCCTTGACAAGGTGTCTCCCTACTTCCCAGGCGAAGCTGGCAAGCTGGTCACCTGAATTTGAAAGGCTGCAGGGTCGGGGCTCCTGGGTGGCGCAGTCGGTTGAGGGTCCGACTTCAGCTCAGGTCATGATCTCGCGGTCCGTGAGTTCGAGCCCCGTGTCGGGCTCTGGGCTGACGGCTCGGAGCCTGGAGCCTGTTTCCGATTCTGTGTCTCCCTCTCTCTCTGCCCCTCGCCCGTTCATGCTCTGTCTCCCTCTGTCCCAAAAATAAATAAACGTTGAAAGGCTGGAGGGTCACTGGGCGGGCAGGTGTCGGGGAGCCCTGCAGTGGCATCCTGTGATCCAAGTTCTTGTGATGGGCTGACCTCATGCAGGGTGGGGGGTACTTGGACTGCTATTTGCCAGAGTATTTGGGGAACGGGTGCTAGAGCAAGACTCCACATCAAAGAGGATAACGGGGTGTTGGGTTAAACAGCTGTATCTCCTATAGAATTTTGGAGACTTTAGTTTCCTCTAGACCTGTGAGTGCCCAAGGGTGGGGCAGTCGGAGGAGTTTCCCAAACACGTCTGACCATAGAGCCCCAGGGCACTCACCGTAGAATCCACTTTGGGAAACACTGGCCCCAAATGGTGGATTTTTACTGAGTGGCTGACGAAGCGACCAGAACAAAGTGTTTGCTTACTCACTCGTCATGGTCACTATGAAATAAGTCCATCATTTTGGAATCAAACACTGGTCTTTCTCAGAAAGACCGGAAGAAAAAAGACGTCTTTATGCAATCAAAAACCTTTATTCAGAATAAGCATTAGCAAAATGAAGGCAGTTGCCTCAGGGCCACGGAGTACTCAGAAGCAGATTTGACAATAATTACGAAAATACTTTGCTACAGATTAAAATACGGAATCACACTAAAAATAAAAGGTGAAGATCCTCAGACGATTTGCTCTCTTGCTTGCCCAGGTGGCCGGGAGTGACCAGCCCTCGGGCCCAGTGTGCTGGGAACCCAAGGCGGGACACGATCAGCCCCGCGGCTGTGGCCAGGCCCCGGGCCTCCACGAAGACTGCCCGGCTCCCCACTGGTCCCGAGTGGTGGGGTTGGGTGCTGGTGACTCCACCGAATGGGACTTCCGGTAAGGAAGGCCGGTGGCTTCACAGGAAGCTCTTATTGGGACGGCATCTGCCTTTTCAGCTTGGCGAGTCTCTGCAGACATTCGTCCCTCCACCGCCGTCTGGCAGCTAAATGCTCCGGATCCGCGGGAACCTTCAGACACATGGCCTGGGAACAGGAAAAGAAAGGACAAGACAAAAAAATCCCAGAGCGTGCAGAGGAACTAACGTACCAGGAGAGTAACTGTTCCTAGTTATTCAAACTGTGCATTTGCTCTTAAAAACAAAAGCAGCTTAGTAACCCCTCAATTAACATAAACTTTCCGAATCCACAGAGGCCTGCAGCTCCTCTGAGACCATTCAGATGAGCCACCAGTTCATCGGTCACCCCGCTCTAAGGTCTCCTGTGACCACGACAGGACCATGGACGCCAAGTCAGGAGTGAGGAACCACCAGGATCCAAGGCGAAGCCTGGCTACAAATAAAACCTCACCTGTGGCACAGGGCTTCCCCTCGGCCTGCACGAGTCTCTAGAAGGGGTCTACGTACCTGGTTAACTTTTTCAACAGTGGCCCCGGAAAACTCTGGAATGGGTCCAAAAGTCTTTAGGACACGTTTCATGCCTTCACTGTATCTGTCACAGTAGCTTAACATACCTGAAATCACGAAAGCAAGAACCCACAACATCAGCAAGAACACTATAAAACTCCAAATGAAGAAATCTACTCAGAGGGTCTCACCCTAGCTCAGGCTTAGGTTCTTCTCCTCCTGTGGATGAAGAAAAGGTGCAGGGGGACGCCCACCGCAGTCGGCTGGCCCTGGGGAACGAGCGTCCTCACCGATGTCACTATTCAAGCTTTCCATCAGATCTTAAAATCCTGAAAAGTGACGGGACCCTCGGGCCTCTGTCAGCGCCTCTTACGGACTTTTGGGTTGGCCTGTGTTCCTGCACTGATTTGTAGAATATCACATTCAGTTCTATTTTCACCAAAAAGGTGAAATGTGTCTGTAAGGTTACTTCTGTGAACGGCTCGAATGCATTTAAAAA